AAACAATTCAACTTCTTCTAGGAACTGTAGAAGCTCAGGGTGGCTGGAGCAAGGTAAATGAAAGCAGACAGGTTGGCAAGAGCTGGGTTCCCCAGAACTTTGTAGACCAAGTAAGGGATCTGCCTTGTATCAAGTGCAAAGGGGAACCATTGTAGTGTTTTAAGCAGAAAAATGTCACAACCTAAAATCTGTTTTTGGGAAGCCGGCGCCATGGGTCACTTGCTGTGCTTACTTGCCATGCCTGTGGTGCCAGCATCCCATATGGGCGCTGGTTCTAGTCCAAGTTGCTCCTCTTCCAGTCCAGCTCTCTGCTGTGGCCCGGGAGTGCAGTGGAGGATGGCCCAAGTGCTTGGGCCCTGCACCCGCATGGGAGACCAGGAGGAAGCACCTGGCTCCTGGATGAAGCTCATAACTCCTGGCTTTGCGGCCTGGAGAAGATTATCAGGATAAATGTTTTATAGTTATGGATGCTTACTTAGAATATTTAATTCTTACATGATGGATGTTTAATTAGAATGTTAGATGAGCTATCACACAGCAAGATAACAGAAAAGAATATATATATATATATATATATATATATATATATATAACCAAATTGATAGGCAGTTCAGGGGTATAGATCATCCAAGGAATGAGGTACCTTCTATTTTCCTTCCTTCTTTGTTATTATTATTAAGATTTATTTATTTGAGAGCAGAGTTACAGAAAGAGGGAGAGGGAGAGAGAGGTCCTCATCTGCTGGTTCAATTCCCAGTGGCTACAAGGCTGGAGATGGGCCAATTCAAAGCCAAGAGCCAGGGGCTTCTTCCTGATCTCCCATGTGGGTGCAGGGGCCCAAGCACTTGGACCATTTTCCACTGCTTCCCAGGCCATCAGGAGGGAGCTGGATCAGAAGTGGGGCAGCCAGGACTCTAACTGCTACCCATATGAGATGGCAGCATCACAGGCGAAGGCTTTGCCTTCTATTCAACAGGGCCAGCCCACTTGTTCTGCCATTCTTGAGTGTTGCCCATTTCTGTTTGGTCATCCTAACTCACCTGATACTGTCTTCCTTCCAATTAGCAAGAAGAGGGCCAAATTTCATTCACTGAAAAATGTAGGCTGCAGCTGCACAGCTAAAACCTGAAAGGAGTTGAGGTAGGAGCAGTGTGGAGGAGGGGGAGAGTGCGAAGTTGTGACTTTTTATTTTTTAAGGTTTAATAATTTGTTTGAAAGGCAGAGTAACAGAGAGGCAGAGGCAGAGAGACAGAGAGAGGTCTTCTATTCACTGGTTCACTCCCCAGATGGCCACACCAAGGAGAGGGAGGGGGCAGGCACTGTGGAGCAGTGAGGGAAGCCACCACCGGTGATACAGACATCCCATGTGAGTCCCAGCTGCTTCACTTCTGACCCAGCTCCCTGCTAATGCTCCTGGGAAAGCAGTGGAAGATGGCCCAATTGCTTGGACCCCTGCTACCCACATGGAAGACCTGGACAGAGTTTTAGGCTCCTGGCTTCGATCTAGCTCTGGCTATTGCAGGCATTTGGCTGAACCAGTGGATGGAGAATCTCTGCCTTGCTTTTTTTCTGTAACTCTACTTTTCAAATAAATAAACTTTTTTTTAAAAAATAAGAGAGTAAGGCTTTAGACGATATGAATTTAGAAGTAACATTCTGTGATACTTGCTATAATATCACTACAACTCTTTTGCTGGTTTCATTTCATGTGCTAAAAAAAATTATATTGGCATCCTATATTCAGGTTTCAGTCTACTGGAAAAATGATAAACCCGGGGGAGGGAAGAAGTCAGCCAGACCTGAGTTGACTGACAGCTCTCCTGGTTCCTAGGACTGGGAACTACTGCAAGCTTCAGGAGGGATCTGTAGAAAGGGGGTTGCTGAGAGTCCTTATTTAAAAGCATCACAGTGGGAATGAAGTAATTTGCATAAAATGCAAATTTTTTGGCACACAAGGAATCCATAAATGCTCACCATCTTGTTCTATGCTTAATGTTTTCCATACACCTGGCCATTTCCAAATACTAAATCTCAGTACTTTGTGGTTACAATATGTGAACGTTATTGGATGTGAACATTTTAATTTTTTTTTTTTTTAAAGATTTACTTGTTTATTTGAAAAGCAGAATGAAAGAGACATCTCTCGCCTGCTGGTTCACTCCTCAAATGCTCACAACAGCTGAGGCTAGGTGAGGCTCAAGCCAGGGGCCAGGAGCTCCATCCAGACCTCCCATGTTGATGGCAGGAACTCAAGGGCTTGGGCTATCATCTGCTGACCCTCAGGTACATCAGCAGGCACTCCAGGATGGTGTGGAGGTGTCCCAAGTGGAGGTTTAACCCATTGCACCACAACACTTGCCCCCTGAACTTTTTAAAATATTATCTTATAGAGGAAAGAAGAATTAGACTACCAGGTGCAAAATAGAAGTATAAAATTTATTTAAAACCACCCACAAAGTTCTGTGTAATCAGGAATGATACAATTTGCAATAGTTTTTTTTTTTAAAAACTCATGACAAAGATTTAAAATATATTTTCAATTACAGTATTCATTTAGCCTTATTCAGTTAGAACAATTAAGAAAAAGAAACTTTATGCTCTAAACAAATGACACACAAGGAAAATATAATAGACAATTTCCACAACTATCTTTACATGTATGTTTCAATACTAGTACATTTCAATGCATTTTGCTACATAAACATGAAATCATGTACAACTGCTGTGCACCAAGATTTAGCTTAATTAGATCTTTCAAGTAACATGCAATTCCAACTCACAAATCTTCAAGTACTGCTAGTAAGTGTTCCCTTGCTGCAGAGGACTAAATATTGACCATGAGTTGAAATCATGATCAACCCTTTCCCTTCTACATGGTGAAGTGCTTTTCTTTGAATTGTTTCCTCCATGTATTAAGAACGAAAATGGATATTTGTGGAGTTTTAAAAGCATTTCCTTACTAACTTATTTCAATGTTGGGAATATTTAATACAGTAGGACGGCAAAAAAAAAAAAAAAAAATCAGAGGTAAAAAATAAATAGTAAATACATCCAGGGAGAGAACAGTCAGCTACGGAAAGGAATTATTAATTTATGAAACTGATGTTTCTAATTGGGAATTCAGTACTACTCTATTTCACCATGACGAAGAAACTGTGAATGTGTTACTCCCACCAATAAGAATTCTGGCTTCTCCTTTGAACCAAGGTAATGATATGCACTTGAGTTGACTTGGTAGCTCACAAGATAGCATGAGAGAAAACCAACAAACTAGAATTCAATGTTTCTCTTTCTGTCAAGGAGTTTTGCAAGTTTTTGTGTAGGGAACACTTCATGACTTCTTACTAACCCAAATATGACAACCCACCCATACGTCACAATGCAAAACCTGCCCTTAGTCTTTACTATAAAACCGTTTCTGGAAAAATATTTCTCTTAAAGCACCCATCACAATGTCATCTCATAAAAGTTAAAAAAAATATGATGATACATTGCAATAAAAATATTTAATTATTGTTTTTGTAAAGTCCCATTGTCATCAGCCATGTGATCAAAGCACAAATAGGTGTTGGTGATGAGAGGCAGTTAGTGAACTCACCAAAATGGGGGCTTATTTGACTCTTCAAGACTGTTTGTCCTGAGTTTTTTAAGTGAGACAGAATATACTGATGGGATAGCCAAAATATTCTACCTCTTTATACAGAGAGGTCACCAAAATATGTTACATAAAGAGGTCACTAAAAGCTTTACAAATATATCTGATCACTTTTCCTAACGGTGTGGGAGAAAGGAATGTTTAACATTGGACTCACAGATTTATGTGGTTAGAAACAGAGAATCAAGAAACAAAACAAATTGAAATAAGTGAGAATACTATCTCTTAGAGATGCCAATAATTGTGCATGTTTATCATGAGGGGCTGGGAACTAAAACTGCTTATCTAGCACCTTTCCTTCAGTGCACTTGTATTTCACTAAACTTCAATAAATATATTAAACTTTGATTGCAATGAGTTGATCTTAGTCTTTTTTTAAAAGTAGTATATTCAAAAATTATTTAGGTTTCCCTCTTTTATTAGCATAGGGATTTTTTTATAAAAAGCTTTTCAAGGGAGAAAAATTACAAAACTTCATAAATCAAAGCCCTAACGCAGAAGTCCTGGGAATGTGGGGAGACCTTGTTTAGTATGCATGACAATAAGTCATGGAAGAAATAGACTTCAGATACATATTTTGCAAACCATAAGGCTTTATACTATCCTTAGATCAGATCTGATAATATTTCTATGTGGAAACAATTAAGTGGTAGCTGTTAATGCAGAGCATTTAGCAGTCTTAAGATATTCAAAGTTTCAATCTCAAATTGGTTGGCTTTGCTAAATGACTGGCAGCAAGCTATTTGATTCTTGTCATCTGCAGGTTTCTCATCTGTTATGGGAACAAAGTTTACTGACCTTCAAAAGTTGCACATTGTAACAGTTTGACTACCTAAAACATTATAAAATATGATTATTTATTATCAGATTTTCTTTCAAAATGGTTCTTCATTTTTAACTGCTATTTTAAAAATAAAATTAATGTGGAATGGAGAGAATATTGAAAGTATTTCTTAGTTTCCAGTTGGAGGTGTGGAGACTCAGATGATAGGAGTATAATTTCCCCTCCTTTCTGCCCTTTAACTTGTGCTCAAAAGCATTTCCAAAGGCTTACTTATCACTTTATCACGTATTAAAGAACTCTTCCAATTACTTTCAGTTCATTTCAAACTTATCTCACCTAGATTACAGAGTAGTTCCACTATTGCCAACAATCAAAGAAATCACAAAGTGGTTAAGTGTACATTCCAAGATAAATATCATCCTTAAAATTTGAATGGGAGATGAGAAAATATGCAAAGAAAAACTGTTTTATAGGTCAGACTTATCACTCATTCAAACTCACTGGCCAACCAATTTATAACTAGTATGATGCCTTATACAGAAATAGCCAAGTCTTTCTGAATGTTTTAGAACAATTAGTGTATTATAGGTTTATTTGTTTGATAAAAAACTCAAACACTAATAAATAGCAAACATTGCTGGGATGATAGAAAGGCCCCTGGGATAGGAAGCTCAGTCTTGTGGTATCACCTACTCCTAAAAACTCAAATTGCTTCTAACTGAAAAGCTCTGATAAATATAAACGCTCTTGATCCTTTTGTACATCATATCTAAAAGGCCTTAAAAGAAAAGACAACTTGACCAATATCACTGCTATTATTAAAATGAACCATGTGCATTTGTGCTGGGAACCTGGAGGTTGGAGACAAGACCGCCAGAGGGAGAACCACCGGGTTTTTAATTGACAGAAAATCAGAGGAAAAGAAAAAAGCTGTAAAAAAGTTTGAAAGTGCATTTAGTGACATTGCAGCTTCAGTAAAAACAGAATAGACAAACAGTAACAATTTGAGTTTCTGGTCAAGGATTATAAATTCATACCCTGCCAGATGGAGAGGAAACCAAATTTTCAACACTGTTTCTCCTGAAATGAGAATCTTTCTGAAATCTGGGAGTTTTTTTTTTTTTTTTTTTTCCCTTATGAATAAGACAGATGCTTTATATAATCACAGCTAGGGGAAAATTTGTTTTAGGAAAAGTAGGTTTATAATGCTAACCAAGGTTTTCCAAAGTCTTACTCAAACATAAAGGAGTTAAATCAGATAACTTGGTTTATATGTGACAGCATTATTACCATGAACCAAGTTTTGTTTTAACATAAAAGACATCTACAGTTGAGCAAACTAGCAGAAAACTTATGATACAGCAGGATCATAAGTATTACGGTAGTGGGTGGAAAAGGAGTATAACCAACAAGATTAATGTTGGAATTTTAAAGCTAGAAACAGTAAATCTTGCACACTACCGAGAAACATGAACATGAGGAGTGGCAAAATAAGGAATACCTTTGGATTACTTGAGGCAGTAAAATACATGCTTTAAGCAGACAATGGTATTTGATTGGATGCCCAGTACAAACAGGGATTAAAACAAAGCAATCCAGATACTGGAAGGTAGAGGATTAAAGTTTGTAGAGTTCTACAAGGACAAAAATAGTGATGCCCTGACAGCTCTACCACTTCAGAAATTAATAGAACAGTCTGTATTTTATACAGACAAGACAAGCAAAAGCATGACAGTGAATTGCAAGTTCAGCTGCTTAGGAAAGACATACTAATTCTGACTTTCTGGATTGCATTCCTAGCTATGGATGCAATCATTCTCAAAAGCTCAAAGAGCTCTGCCTGGAACACAATTTGATTTGGTTGAATTCCTTTGGCAATCAGACAGGGATTATATCACTAGGTTCAGTGTGCCACATGAGAAAGCTGAAGTAACAAATTCAGTGCATTTGTGAACAAGTTTAGGGGTTATGCACAAGAAAACAGTGTTCTAATACATGTAGACGGTGACACCAAACAGCTATGCTGGAGTTCCTGCCACCCATATGGGAGACTTGGAATTAGCTCCTGGCGGTGAGATTTGGTCAGCCATGGCCAGTGCAGGTAATGGGGATTTAAGCTGTGGGCAGAAACTCGTTGTCTTGAAAATAAGTTAAAAAAAAAAAAAAAAGGAGCAAAAGCTCCCAAACACAAAACTATGCTAGGACATACTTGTGAGGTCAATTGGGCCTGAAAAGAATGGTACAACTATGGTAGGTAGTTGCATTCATAATGGAAACACCAATACTGTCTTCAATAATTTGAATCATCCAATCTTTTTTAAGTATATGAGTAACACTAATTACAGGGGAATAAAAAGCCTATACTCTATCTCCATTTGATATTTGTTTATTGAAATAGCATTGTCACATTTTATAGGATGCACTACAGAGACTTTCATAGGTAAAAGTTTTCCCACAAAGGTCACAAAACTGCAGGCAAGGGAAATCTTGACCCAATTTTACTGAGAACTTTCCCTGAACCTCTCTGGAAAAAAAAAGAGACCATTTTATTTTTGACTTGTATCAAAATAAAGCTACTTCCCAATGACAAAATATCCTTGGATCAGAAAAATCAACTTCATTTGCCAACAGTTCTGATAAACACAAAACATAATTACAAAATGACAACATCTACTCTTTGGGCCCCACTGGCTGAACTATGTGACTCCTAGTGTGGCTTCCACTGATGTGAGAGGCCACTCCCATGTCCCCTTATTTCACAATTCTCTTGTCATAAACTCACAGTGGTATTTAGACAAAAAAAGGATTTCTGTGCACTAAGGTATGAAATTGAAGGTAACTATGTATTACTAAAAGTTGCAGATTTAGTTGACACATTCAAAGGAAATGCTGTGCCTATTATTGATGGAAGTTGTTATGCAATATCATAACTTCGCCCCATATAAAAAGTTTCAATACAAATTTTTGCTGTTAAAGACTAGTTTGGGGTTATTTTCATACATGCTATTGTGAAACGATAATATGTGCAAATCCACTGCTGTGACACCACTGATAAGCAGGTTACTTCCTATGAATTGTCAGCAGCACATGTACACACAGGGATGCATTCAATTAAGTATGTATCGAGGTTATGTCCTAAGAAAATTGCTAATGGATCTCAACTGGTTGAAGTTGAAGTTTAAGAAATGAAATTATATCATCCACATGCAGACTAATAAAGAAATAGATGTAGTGAAGTTGCAAAAATTTACCTACAGTGATACACTTGCAGATAGCCTCACTTCCCAGTGATAATATCTCAATTAAGTTTAGGATATGTTCTATTTGGTACTTTGTGGATGAACTAGAAAAGAAGATGCAGATGAGGCTGACAAACCTAAGAGGAGGGAAAAGATTCACCAACAACCTTGGAGCCATTAAAGGGGGCATCATGATGTTTAATGAGATCCTACAATAGGCAGGAATTACTCTCATTGTAGCTGGCAAATCTGCAATATATGAACCAGTTGGGCTAACTTGGATGTCATGAATGAGTGAATTCAATGATCATACCAAAACTAAAGGCAGAGCTGATTTAAAACCCAATTTGAATACTGTATGAAAGGTAATAAAAATGTTGATATTTATAAGTAAAACATAAGAGTATAGAAATAATGTTAGATGACCAGTTTTGTGAGTGAAAATGTCATTTCAAACCGATTTATTTTCTTGCTTGATGAGAAAGAGCATTCTAAAAGCAGTGTGGCCAGCATACAATCACAATGCTAAAGAACAATGAACTAGCAGAAGCACAGGGACGGTGAACTGCAGAAACTAGGAAATAGAGTCCAACAAGGGAGGAATAGAGTGGAGTTCCCATAGTGGGGATGTCAGCTGAGGCAGTCCATTCATGATGTTAATTACAACAATGGAATGGAAATGTTTTAGTTGAGACTTAGTATTTTCAGTTTCTCGCTGCACCAAGCTTCACAAGTCCCAGTAGTCCCATAAACCAACATTGGTGTTTAACCATTAGATTGTTAAGAAACTGATTTAAACTTGGAAGCAAAATGATTTGCATGACTGCAGATATAGCATCATGGATTGTTTTGAAGGTCATTTGTTATGTCTTTGAAAAATATTTGCAAAAGTATCCTTTAGGATGTTAATTCTTTAAGCTTACTACATCATAGGTAGGGATTCAAATTCAATGAAGTGTAGACTGGAAGAATGGATGACAGATAAAATGTCCTAAGACGTTATCCATTAAATCTGGTGAGGAAATAATTTCTAGTGGGAACTAAGGCCTAAAGTCTAACATACAGTATCACAAGGGTGTATTCCAGATAGCCTAAAACTAGGAAATATCTTATTGGAGCAGCGGAAGCAATAAACAATCACTTATTTTATATACTTATATGTATAAGAAACCTTAGGCTCAAAAAAGAAAATACATGTTTTAAAACGGAAATCTAAGGCACACAAAGTACTAAAACAAGTCAATGAATTACCCTATTTTACATATTCAAGAAGCAGGTATCTACTTGTACAAGATGATGGTCTATCAATGGACAAGTCGTTATTTACAATCCCTTCATATTCCTTTACTTGAATTAGTCAAAAGCTTTAAACTGATACTTTGCACCATATATTATTTTAATAAGTTAGAATGAGTTTTTCTTTAGAGAGCTTACTGGAACTGTTTGCATTTGCACCAAAATTAGCATTTGTGGACTTCCTATGGCATTTCCAAGGGAGAAGCACCATTAGGTTTTCTATACTCCCAAGGAATCTGACACTTTAAATGTCATAGCACCTCTGCAGATTAAAGGACTCAAGTATTTCATTGAAGGTTCTTCATGTTCGAAACAAGTTTTGGGGTAATCCTATTGTGTTTTCTGTAAAAACGAGTCAATCAAGTAACTGGGAAAATATACTGGGAAGACTAAAATAAACAGAAAACCTATTTTCCTGTTAACTAGAGCACAGGCAGTTACTAGGGAAGATGAGTTTTCATTTCCCCAAATTAATATGCTAAGGTGAATGGATGAATTAGTTCTTAAAGGACAAAATTGTTTTTAATTCCATTCCTGCTGTTTGTCTGGGGCAGGGAGGACATGAGATGGCAATAAGGAATTTGCTTTCGCAGGAGATTTTTCTATGGGATTTTTTCTTATTCTGATGTCAGAACCATTTTCAGAAAAATAAGGCAATTCAGGAAGGGGAGGGTTCTGGCAACTGAATTATTGTATTTTATCACCTTGAAACATTAGAAGCATTTGACCCTTCTGAATCCTATTTCCTTGCAACTGTTTTTGAAAACACATTTCATGGATCATATTGGAAAGTCTGGGATGAAAGTAAATTGAGGCCAATGTTGCTCAATGTATCAGAAGAGACCACTCTTACTTAGTTCTGAAGACAAAGTTAATCAATATTGGTGATATGTTTTCTAATCCCAGTCATAGAGATAATTAATAATCTTTGCATTATCTATTTTATACAAGTAGCTAGTATGTAAATGTGAAAGGACACATTAAAAGAACACAAACCATATACATGATTAGAATACATACTGCAGTTAACACGATGGAACTCTACACAGCAAGAATAAATGATCTCTTGTATGCAAATATGCACAAACAATAGACAATAAGATTCTCATACTATACTATTTCAAGTTACTTTAAAAAATAGAAAGTGCTTTTAAAATATATATTTACAATTATGAACAGCCTCCAACCATTACTAACAATAATGAATTATTTTATAGAGGAGAAAGTTTAAGAGAGAAAGTATTTCATTGGTTTATTTCAAAGAAATATGCCACTTTTCTAGCAATGATTGGAAGATGTTGGAACAATGGCACCATGAAATAATAATTCAGCTTATGTTGAACTGTGTCAATGTGGAGAAGCACCAGGAGCTGTGTAGAGTTAACACTGTGGGTCTTGATTTAACATCATAGAACATGAACCTGGTAAAATCTGCTAAAAATGACTCGTTTCATAGTAAACAGACTTAATTTAAAGCACCAAACTGAGTGATTCTATCAAGGTTAACGCCTAGCCAAAACATTTCTTTACGTATTTAAAACTATAAAACTTTTTATTTTTGCTTAAAATGTGCACCTTCTACCAATTGTCAAGATATAGTCACAGTTAAGTACCCACCCCGGATTTTTGTTTTGTTTTGTTTTTACCTCAGACTTGAAATGGGTGAGATGAAGATATAGTAACCGACAACATGACTTTCTTTAACAGCACCTTGAAAAAAATCCACTGCACTACCAAAGGCATAGAGAAGGGGAGAGAAGCCATCAGACCCAATGGTTATAGGGCCCTGCAACGTGTGTGAGAGCATAAGGGGTCACGGTGACAACATTATTGTGGGTTAGCGTTAATGCTTTATGAGACGGAATTTGGTTGAATTCATTTACTTCCGGGGCCAGCACAGCACCCTCATTAGCTGCCTGGTCTGTCTGCTCTGAGGCTTTCGTTTTCTTATTCTTAGGTTCTTTAGCCTCGAACTTAATCTTGTTCAGTTCAAAACCATGCTGGGGCTTATTCAGGTTTTTGTGCTGGTAGAACACGAGGGAGAGGCGTGTGGGATGGTTCCGATTTGGGAAGGCGACAGCAGTGGTAGCGTGAAGCTCTCGCCGGGCACACTCAATCAGGACGGAGCCGTGCGTGGGCGCTATGGCCACCCCACCGATGTTGGGATCCAAGAAGACGTGCTCGCTGTCAGACCAATACTCATCAATGTGGGGCTCCTCGGCAGGTGACAGCAGGTCGTCGGATAGCTGGTCGTCTGATGGGGGCTCATCGGCCTCAGAATGCTGTTCATATTCCTCCCCCAGAGAGGAGGCAAGCTCCTGAGCAGTGGGCACGAAGGGGGACTGCTGGTTTGACTGGCTGGATGATAGCTGCTCGGGTGGCCCAGCGGGAGGCTCAGAGTAAACCGTCCCGTTGTGCGGAGCAGCCGCTTCCCCGGGATGTGCCACGCCGGGGCATGCTCCAGCAGCTGCATCAGCACCACGGTGTCTTCCGGAAGGCATCGGGCTACTTCGTTCAGAAAACCCAGACGAGGCCCTTCCACTATTCTTGAACGGAGCTGTCGTGCTGGAACCAGTCTTTGGGGACCAGGCCAAGAATGGAGACAGGCTTGCCCTCACTTCGTGAGGAATGGATTGGAGCGCCACGTTTTTAATGTTCTCTGAATTTTTGAGGAGAAAATGCAATTTAGTTAAATATGTTATGTCATGTGGTATCATCTGAGTTTTATTTCCTAAACAGAAAAGGATATAAAGTGTGAAAATAAACACAAACTACTTTGGTAGTGCTTGTCTTTAAAGAATAACCAAACAATATATACAGTAATATGAGAAAACACTAATGCTGGCCAGTTTTTTCAATTTATTTAAAATCTAATGCACCCAGGAATTAAAATCTGTGTAAGGTCTGGAATAGCTTTCCATCCAAGGACTTCTCATAAATATTATTCCTTTAAAAAGATTTGAACAATAGAAATTCATTTCTTAACATAGAAAAATAATAGAAATGTGCTCATTGACTATGAAGTAAAGTACATGGAATTTGCAAAAAAAAAAAAAAAAAGAGGTTTAAATGCATTTAATGCATTTTTAGGTTTTGCATGACCTCAGTTTTGAAAAAGTAAAAATAAGTAATGTGTCTCGGGTAATCAAGGAATCGTAATTGTCAAAGTAAATAACTAGGCAAAAGGAAGTCATATAAAAAAAAAGGCAAGTTGGGCCGGCATTACGGTGTAGTAGGTAAAAGCTGCCGGCCGAGACAGCGGCATCCCATGTAGGCAGCAGTTCATAGCCAAGTTTCTCTGCTTCTGATACAGCTCCCTGCTAATGTCCTAGGAAAAGCAGAGGAAAATGACCCAGGTGTTTGGGCCACTAAATCCACATGGGAGACCAAGGAGAGGCACCTGGCTCTGACCTGGCCCAGCAATGGCCATTGCAGCCATTTTTTTTATATATCTTTTAAAAAACAATGGCAAGCAAGAGTCATTTGCTCTAGCATACCCACACAAATCACAAAACATGGTGACACTATTCCGAGGGACATTGTACATCTTGTGAAGCTTTGTTTTATCATTGTTTTTGGAAGTGCAAATGCAGTGAAGTTTAGAAATGAGGAAAAGAAAGTCATGATGTGATGGTAAACGTTGATTCGCTGAACACATGCAATTCTCTCTGATGCCACAAGCAGAAGGCAACACAATTTGTGTTTCCAAAGAGAATTTATGCATAATAACCAATCCTGTTGTAGCACAGCAGGAAACCATCACTGTAATCTGCGGAAATATCTATTTTTACAGAGGTTTAGCTTCCCAACAGAAGGTACCTAATGGGAATGAAAGATGAAAACCGGTACATGTTCATCACTGAGGGTAAAATGTGGCCTGGGACGCCCAGATCCTGTATCAGGGTACCTGGATTCAAGTCTTAGATCTACAGCCTTTGCAAGCTTCCTCCTGTTGTCTACCCTGAAAAGGTGATAGCTCAGATTCAACTAGCAGATGAAAGATGTCTGTCTATCTCTGCCTTTCAAATAAACCAAATACATTTAAAGTATCAGTGCTTGACCCAGGCCGAGCTTCTCCAATTCTGATCCAATACCCGGCTAAGGTATCTGGGAAAGGAATGAAAGATGGCCCAAGTACTTGGGCTACTGCCATGCACGTGGGGTACCAGGGACAGAGTATCTGGCTGTGACCTGACCCAACACAGAACAATGCAGCCATCTGGGGAGAGAACAAGCAGATGGAAGATCTCCTTCTCTGCAACTCTGCCTTTTGAAAAACTAATTAAATTGGGGACAACGCTGTGGCGTAGCGGGTAAAGACGCTGCCTGTAGTGACGGCATCCCATATGGCACCAGTTCAAGTCCCGACTGAACCAGAGGATGGAAGACTTCTTTATGACATTAAAATAAATAAATAAATCTTAAAAAAATAATAAAATTTTAATAAAAATTTAAGTCACAAAAAGAATTTTGAAAAGTTCTTATGGGCAGGATTACAAAAGGATAGATCATAGATCAACTATTGTGTATATGGTTACCAGTATATAAAAATAAATGTTGAGAAAAGTTAAAACATGACAGCCAAGGATAAAAAGGAGATGGTTGTTCCTTACAGGCAGCAAGGACCCAGACATATGAATCATAACACAAATGGAAATCAAATCAAATATGGGTAAAATGAAGTTGCATGCAAGATGGAATGATCAGCTTCTCACAGTAACTCTTCAGCTTTTGTCTTTATTGCATCTTTTCCAGCATCACATAAATGCCTGTACTGTCATTTTAATCCTGTTATTAAGAGGAACTGTCTTACAAATATGAAAATGAAAGAAGCTAAGGAATGTTGTCATTCTAAGTTTGAAAAGCAGTAGAAACGCCTGTAGCTCCCTAGAGATACGGCTGAGTCTGGAACACCTGACATGGCAGAGCTAGGGATGGTATCAAAGAAAAGCAGGGAGGCAGACAGTGGATATCATGCTTAAGATGCCACATGGGATGCCCACATCCCATAGAGCAAACTAGTATCTGCAATAGGTCAGGAACTATTATAAATAGTTCAATACTTTCATTTTTACAATGAATAAAAACAACATTAATGCAAGGAGGAGGTCTGAGATGGCTGATATTGAAGAGAACATAAATTTAAAAATAGCATATATTCATTGGTGCTAGTGCTGAGGCTGACGGTGTTAAGGTGTTAAGAAGCCACCTGCAGTGCTGATATCTCTATGGGCAAGGGTTGCTCCACTTTGGAGCAAATGAAGCTAAAAAGCACAGTATGATGACCCAAATCCTTGGGCCCCTGCACCCACATGGGAGACCTGGCTGCAGCAGCAATTTGGGGAGTGAACCAGTGGATGGAAGCTTGCTTGTCTCTCTCTCTCCCCTTCTATATAAATGCATCTTTACTTATTTGACATTTCTTTATTTATTTAAGAGCCAGAATTACAGAGAGGAAAGACAGAGAGAAAGGTCCTCCATCAACAGGTTTACTCCCAAAATGGCTGCAATGATCCTGTGTATTCCCAGGTGCATTAGCAGGGAGCTGGATGGGAAGTGGAGCAGCAAGGACACAAATCGATGTCCATATGGATTTTGTTGCTGAAGGCTGTGGCTTTAAGACCCAGTGGTTGGCTATGCTGCTGAATAGGAAACCTTAATCCCATAATCAGTGCTGAGGTCGAGACCCAGCTACAGCTCCCAATTCCAGCTTCCGCTAATGCGCAGTGTGGGTGCGCAGTAGTGATGACTCCAACAGTTGGAAGACCAGAATGGAGTTTGTAGATTCTGGCAAAGGCCATGTTGGCTGCGGCAATTGCGGGCATCTGGGAATTGACCGAATGAAGCTCTTGAACTCTATTTCTTTACTATATGTTTAAGGTTCTTGGCATTAAATACAACCTATGTGGTTGATTTCCAAGTTATACGTTCTGTCAGAATTTCTTATGTAACTGCCCATCTGCCACCACCACACACACACTTCTTGAATACTGATCTTCTCAACCCACTCCTGCCCCACCTGTTTGTCTAAACTTACCCTTACTGTACCCTTTCCATTTCCTTAGGCCAAAAATTTGGGGTGAAAACATGATAATTTTTGCTTTATACTCCATTTTTAGTCTGTCCAAAATCCTGTTGATTCAGGAACACATCTGGAACGAGGCATTTCTCACATTTTCACTAGCCAATCTAGTCCAATACTCTCTATGAGCATAGATTCTACAGGGTCCCAAGACTTTTCTATCCTCTGGCCCTTTTTATTTGTGACTCAGCCCAGCTACTGGAGAGCTACATTTGAAACAAATCAGAGTTTTCCTCTGCTTTGAAACCTTGAGTAACCTTCCCCTCACTCACAACATAGGCCAAGTTCTACACAGCCTAGGATGAATGTCGCAGACAAACTTGAACTTCTCTCTTCTTAGCTCCTGCTGTTCTGCTTTCCATTCTGCTCTGGTCATGCTGTCCTGTTGGCTTTCTTCAAGCAATCGGTGAATTTTGGCCTCTGCAACATTGCACCTTCTATTGCTTCACCTGCTATGTTATTTCTCCAAACCTCCACTCACTGAATCCTTCTTTGACTACCATACGCAAATGAAATCCTTTCTAAACACTATGCCCCAGCACTTTCAGTCAAGTATTCCCATACAACCAGCTTTAAGTGACATTGAGTAATATTTGTTGACTACTTAAATTGATGTTTACAATGGTCAAGGAAGCCCTTCACAAAGATATCATTTCATCTATGCCAAGAATCACCAGGTCTTCAAACTAGATGGGGGATTCACAAAGACAAAGATGATAATACCTTCAAAAATAAGACAAGAAAAGGCCTAGTGTTTCTGAAGAGTGGGTTAAGCCACTGCCTGGGATGTTGCATCCCATATGGAGTTGTGGTTTTAGTCCCAGCTACTCTGCTGGATCTAGCTCCCCAATAAAAAGCCTTGGAAGCCTATTACCCACGTGTGAACCCAGTTGGAGGTTCAGGATCCTGACTTTGGCCTGCCTCACCCTGACTGTTGTAGCCATTTGAGATGTAGACCAGCAGATAGGAAGAACTCTGCCTCTCTCTTTGCCACCCTGTGTTTCAAATAAATAAATACATCTGTTTTAAAAAATGAGATAAAAAGTTGGAGAAAATTACTATTAGGAAGTTCACTTTTTGTTGGCTTTTAGTTTTAAAACCTATTTAGAAATATATTCAATATTCTAACACACCATAAGAATACAGACAAATGTAGATTCCATAAAAATGTATAATCTACCCCGCAATTTTTCTTTTCATAATGCTTAATCCCCGAGGCATCAGCAAAGATATAGGAGAGAAAAAGCAAGGTGCAAACCCTTCTTTCAATGAAAGGTGTGCCAAGAAAACGGACAGGTTCCACAGCGTTCACCAAAAACTGGCAGGGACCAAGCCTTACCGTTGTGGGTTGCCGCCGACGAGTTATTCTTCCGCTTGCCGCGAGGCACAGGCTTCTTCTCCACGGCCCTAACCTTCCGCTCCAGAACCTCCGTCATCATGGCTGCCCTCTTCTTCCCCGAGCGAGGAACGGGCTGGGTGAAACAGGTTCTTCGTTTGCGGCGCGGCGTGAGAACTTCGATGGCCCCAGATTTGATCTTGCGCTCCATGCCTTCCTTGGAGCCAAACTCATCGGTATCTGCAAGTTTATAAAGGGGAAGGACGTGGAGCTGCTCATCTTGAGGAACGACACCCAGTGAACGGTTATCTTCTCGAGTTAAAGTACAAACCTGATAGAAGAGAAAAGAAAGTGGGAAACTGAAGTCCTGCACAAATATCAGTTAGCCCTATCTTCATTATATCCCTACATCCCAGGGTGAGAGGGAACAGAAATTCGATTTTCTTTTCCAAAAAATATATTAATTTCAAAGGCAGAGTGAGAGTTAAAAAGGTCTTGCATGCATTGTCTCACTCTACAAATGGCAACAGCCAGGTATGATGTAAATTTTAAAAAGAGAACATTTCCATCAAGTTTGTGGAAAAGGGAAATTCACAGAAATTGAAATTTTATTTCAGTGCAAAATTTAAAATCCAGGTACAGGTTTTTCATAGAGTACATATTATCTGTGAAATGTTGTTAGATCTTATATTTGTATCTAAGATTCTGTTTGTGCATGCATTGTGAGGAAGTAGTTACAAACAGAAGCTGCCCATGGACATACCACAGTGCTTCCATTGTTCATGTTGTGGATGTCCCTGTGGGAATGGGCACAGAAGTCTAAGCAGGCGGTGACTCCAGAGAAAGGACGACCTTCTTTTCTGCCAAGCCGACATTCTCGGGCAACATGTTCATATTCTACCTGTAAAGACAAAGTGTCAGACACAGTGTTAGAAGACAAAAAGTATCGCCTTCAGGGTGCCGCTCTGTAGTGAAGCGGGTAAAGCCATTATCTAAAGTGCCAGCACCCCTAATCTGAGCCAGTTCAGGCCCGGTTGCTCTACTTCTGATCCTGTTCTCTGGTTTGGTCTGGAATAGCAGTAGAAGATGGCCCAAGTGCTTGGGCCCCTGCACCCACATGGGAGACCAGGAAGAAAGCCCTGGTTCCTGGAGCAGCTCCACTTGGTACAGCCAACTGGGGAGTGAACCAGCAAGTGGAGGACTTCCCTCTGTCTCTCAGCATCTCCTTCGCTGTGTAACTCTGACTTTCAAACAAATCTTAAAAAAAAAAAAAAAACTTCAGAAAAATGTGAAAATTAATTTCTGGCAAAGCAGTTAAATTAATCACACTTTGAGAGTCCCGGATTATCTAGATTGTAAAGTGCTATCGTTGTAGAGTTGAGTGACATTTGAGATAAAGAGCCTTGGAATACCAGAGAGGATACTAACGTATGTGGGTGATGAATAAAGAAACATTGGAACCTAAATAAGGTTATTAGAAACGAAGGCAAGTAAAACTGCATTAACCATACATGCAGATTTCTAAATATACATGCACTTATGAACCATAACAATGATTTTATAACCTGGTTTTTCATGTGAAATTGGAATTTAATAGAACATATTATATGTATTGTATTAAATAGTTAAAAATAGACCTCTGTTCATAACACATTTATATTTTGCTTTGCTATGATTTGGAAGTATTTCCTTACAAACTATCCCTTGTCTCCTCGTGTTCTTGATGGCATCATTCTTAAAGTTTTATTTGAATGGCAGAATAACAGAAAAAGAGGCACATACAGAGATCCAGTAGAGATATCTACTGGATATTCTATCTGTTTCCCAAATGGTGGCAACAGCAAGGGCTGCGCCAGGCCAAAGACAGGTACCAAGAACTCCATCATGGTATCCCATGTGAGTGGGATTCCAATATGGGATGCAGTTCTTCCAAGTGGCATTAATGGGTTTCAGCCCAGACTACTTTTATGATTGTAATTGCCCTGCCAGAACCTCCAGCACAATGGTGAGAGTAGACATCCAAATCTTAGGAGAAAAGCTTATCATGATCAATTGTTATGTTACTGGTCAATTTTTTGTACCTTCTCTTCAACAGAAGGTAGCTCCCATCTATACATAATTTTTTGAAAAATGTTTTCATCTGAAAAAATGAGATCTTGTCAAACGCCCTTTCAGCATCAATAAAGATTATCTTATTCTGAAAATGCTATGAATAAGTGTAAAAAACATACCTGATTTTGATAAGCAACAGGAGCATACTGCTTATAAATTGGAGCTAATTCTGTAGCCAAACTTTGCAAATTATCTTCAAGGTTTTTTTCCTATAGGAAAAGATAGTCCACATAGATTATTTTATAATGACATATAAAGAGTTTAAGGTGTTAAATTGGATTACACAACACTGCTGACCAGTGGTTATTGTACAACAAATGTGAAATAGGCTATATCAACCCAGTGTTCTCCTTTCTACACCAGAATGGCAAGAAAATGAAGACTATTTGATAGGACTCTGAGGGGCATCAACAGCATACCAACAGCCAGGATTGCTACTGATAACAGAGTCGTGACACTTCTAAGGAAATTGTCATCATGATGGAGTATCCCAAAGGTCAGCAATGACAAGGAGAAATGCAGGAGGGAAAAAAGGGAGGTTTTGGAAGAACAGTTGTAAAAAAGTTTTCCTGAAATGATTATGCTGCAGTTCAGTTAGAGACTCAGTGAATGAATGGTGATAACTAACTAAGTCAAATGAACGAGACCAAGAGGCACAACAAAGAGGGGACCACCAAGCGGATGGTTTTGGATTATGTGTAAGCTCCAGTCAGATCAGTTCACCTGAGGAATGCATGCTAATTCTCTCTGAGAAAATTATGTCAACAGGGTCCAGAGTGAGACATATATCATCCTGAAATCTTGTTTAAATGTGTGTAATGTTTAAAACAACTTAACCAAATAGAAACAAATTAAGTACAACTTGTATTGTTGTCTGTTGGTATTATTTTCTAATCTTAGCCTCATTATTCAAACTACAAAAATTCTTCTGTCTGATTACAAAACATCTATGCGGGTGCCACGGCTCACTTGGCTAAATCCACTCTCCAGGCCATTATTCAAAGAGCATCTAGACATCTCATGAAAGGACAAAGGTATCAATGTCCCTCTCCTCAAAACCCTTCCATTGTCTTCCAAAATTCATGACATGGCTTAGAAGGTACAGCAAGCACTAAACTCTCCCTCGCCTGCTGAGCTTCAGCCACACTGGTCTCTGACAGTTCCTGGAATGAGCCAAGCATCTTCCTGTGATTAATAACAACCATAAGCAAAAACTCATCTTACACTCATTAACCACTTTACAGTGCTATTGTTAAAAGGATGAAAATCTGCTAGGCATGTTGATATTACAAACGTATTTTTATACTGACACATATATCCATCATATAATATGGAGTAAGAAAACTGGTTCATTTTAAGGGAGAACTGACATCACAGTATCAAGTGTTCTGTTCTTTATGATCATTTGGGGTATTAGCAAAGGGTCACAGTTTCGTACCTAAAGGTCAAATAAGACTTTTGTTTAGACTTTTACTTAGGTAACTCACAGAATTTGATATTAATGGAAGGTTTTAAAAAATGTTATATCTTTAAATGTTTACCACTGCTAGATATTTAAGATAATGATATTTAACAAGATAGACTTCTAACTAGTCATCTTGTTAAAACTAATAGTAATAATTTTATAAGTTTTTAAAACTGTCTGCAAAGACAGTTCCCTTTCTGAAATCAAAGGGATTGTTATTTATAATTTGAACCTTTTCAAATGTTATAATAATTGCATTATTTGTATAGTTAGATTAATTCTTGCTGTCTTATATCTTTACACTGCATGTTAGTGATTTTTATACCTCCCTCTGACAATTTATGAATGGATTGCATAAGTAGTTCAAAAAGATAAATTCTCTATCATTTGAAAAATTTTCCATATAAAATGCACATTTTTGTGAGAACATCAAAATAAAAATATTTTAAAAACCTTTTATAATAGTTCTCTAAAATGAAATAAGACTAAATGCTATTTCCTGAAAGTTTTATTTGTGTACATGTATTCACATAGTGGGTCATAATACAAAAGAAAATTTTTTAAGTTCTTGGTCACTGCTCAAAGTTTGAAAACACAAATGTTAGAATTATGTAAATCTTTTCCCCCAAACAGAGCATCATATATGACCATACTTAGTGTCTGTGGGTACCCCACCTCCTCCCACAAGTTTATAAGACTATGGAATTTATTTTAATTACAAAATTAATTACTAAACTTTACAGGAAATTTGACTAATTGTGTTGCTCACCATGGCCTTGTGTATTGGACAGATTGGTTCCGGTTTCACATATCTTCTTTGTCGATTACGTCGTTTAGTAATTCTTTCATAGTAGGTCTGTGGGTAGTAAACTTTCTGAGTCTTGGAAGTGTTGGCAAATGGCTTTTTCCTACTTTGGTTGAGAATAAAAATCTAGGTTCTCTTTAACAAGGATTTCCTTTAGGGTAGGGGAGCAATAGAAGGGAGCCAGGGACAATTGAAATTTGGGGTTGATAGTGGAAGACTTTACCTACGTTATTTAGAATTTTTATTTAAATATATATTCACTATTTTAATGCTACTTAATCATATTTACATTTTCAGTGTTTAAAAATTTTAAAGGAATGTACTTAAATCCTCAATGCCTCACTCACACATAAAAAGGACACTTACGTGTAAGGGAGAGCTGGGATCAATTCTAAATCTTCTGGGGCTAGGACTTCGCCCGAATTTGCACCCATTGAAATACATACTCCAGGAACAGCCGAAAGAGAATGAGGCTCCACAAGTCTCAGGATCGATTCCTTGGCAAGTACAGGTACGACTGTGAGACAGGAATTGCAAAGGAGTAAGACAAGGCCTCACACAAAACATTTCAGGTATAAATGGTTAGTGAATGGCTTAACATTTATCTAAATTACAGCATTGAAGACATCCTTTGGGATCCCATATCTCTAATCTGAGTGCCTGGGTTCAAGTCTGAGTTCTGCTTTGGAAGCAGCTGCTTTTTTCTTTTCTTTTTTTCTTTTGACAAGCAGAGTGGACAGTGAGAGAGAGAGACAGAGAGAAAGGTCTTCCTTTGCCGTTGGTTCACCCTCTAAAGGCCGCCGTGGCCAGCGCACTGCGCTGATCCAAAGGCAGGAGCCAGGTGCTTCTCCTGGTCTCCCATGGGGTGCAGGGCCCAAGAACCTGGGCCATCCTCCACTGCACTCCTGGTCCATAGCAGAGAGCTGGCCTGGAAGAGGGGCAACCGGGACAGAATCTGGCGCCCCGACCAGGACTAGAACTCAGTGTGCTGGTGCCGCTAGGTGGAGGATTAGCCAGTTGAGTCGCGGCGCCGGCCGGAAGCAGCTTCTTACTGCTGTGTATAATGCAGGGCAGAAAGATGTGAGCCACCTGGGAAACCCGCTTATAGCTCAAGGGTCCTGGTTGCAGGCCTGGCTGTTGTGGGCATTTATATTCCAATCTCTACTGGAAAATAACACATCTTAACTATTTCTCTCTCAAAGAAAATAAAAGTAAGTCAATAAAAATGTTAAGCCACGAACATAGATGCCATATTTTGTTGGGGCAAAGCATGGCAAAATTGCCACCTGCAGTGCCTACATCCCATTTGGGCACCTGTTCAAGCCCTGACTACTTCACTTCTGACTGAGCTCTTTGCTATGGCCTGGGAAAGGGGGGGGGGGGTGTCTTTGGCAACTGAAATGCATTGAGTATATTAGAAGAGGAGTTACCATCAACTTCATGACATTGCACCTTCATGGCCAATCCACTGCAACTAGGATTTGTTGATCATTATAATGGTATTATATAAGAAAATATCCTGATTTTCAAGGTTAACTACAGTTTAAAGTATTATTTAAAAGGCATAATACATGTGTCTGGCTCTCAAGTGGACCAATCTATAATAATAGTGTGTGTGTATAATGTAAAATACATTTGTTTGGCTATATAACTATATTTGTCCTTAAAAGTCAATGAAGTGTCAGTGCCCCTTGTCCTGGCTGTTCTTCCCACAGGGGAAACCTTGACTGAATTTCTGAACCTGACTTTAGCCTTGTTCAACCATGGTTGTTGTGGGTATTTAGGGAGTGAACCATCTTTCTCTATTTCAGTGGGTCTATATGTCTCTCATGTCCTCTCAAAAAGAAAAAGATAGTCTCAACAGATAAATAATTCAAATCCCAGAGATGAGTCAGATATAAATACACAATTGTTTTTACACAATCAGGTCACAATTTCAAGTCTAAGCCAAAAGAAAGGCAAACATATTACATGTTTCAGATATTTATGTTTTAAACAAGTACTAAAAGAAAGCATAGGGAAGTAAAAAGACAGCTTAATAAAGTGTTTGCAAATCATATCACAAAATATCTAGAAAAAATATGAAGAGTAATCCTTTTAAAAGAATCATTCACAATAATTAATTGATCGGTCTTGCCAAGAAAGAGGAATCGCAAATGGCTCAACCATATGAAAAAAGTATTCACGAGAGTCAAATTGACACTAATCCATTTCACTACTTAATGGTCAAAAATTCAAATTCTCCATTGTGGTCACTGGCAAGACTACAGGGAAACTGTCACAATGCAAAGAGGAAATGCAAAATGGTCACTCTCCAGGGACAGACCTTTGCTTTATGTGAAAGCCCCCCTCCCCTTTTAAGATGTATTTATTTATTTGAAAGTCAGAGTTACACAGAGAGGAGAGGCAGAGAAAGAGGTCTTCCAGCTGATGGTTCACTCCCCAGATGGTGCAATGACCAGAGCTGTGCCAATCCGAAGCCAGGAGCCAGGAGCTTCCTCCGGGTCTCACACATGGGTGCAGGGGCCCAAGGACCTGGGTCATCCTCTACTGCATTCCCAGGCCATAGCAGAGAGCTGGACTGGAAGTGGAGCAGCTGGGTCTCAAACCGGCACCCATATGGGATGCTGGTGCTTCAGGCCAGGGCATTAACCCACTGCGCCACAGCACCGGCCCCCAAAAAATGCTTTCTAAGTGTTAACCCACTGCGCCACTATGCTAGCCCCAAAAGTCCTTTTCCTGCAGACTGTAGGAATGGGTGGCTTCAGCTACCAGAGCAAGAAGCAATGAAACAATATTCTCAAGGAGAATATTTTAACATAGCCCTAACTTACAAGGAAGCCGCCACCTAAAATCCTTTCTCATGGAAATGCCTTAGTACGTGGTTAATTAACAATTTACCATCAATAACAGAGATCTGAAAAGTAAAGCAGTACAAAAGAAATGTGATTACTTTTCATTGAGTGTACATCTTCGGTCTGTGGGATGGCCGTTGTATGACCTGAGGTTCTCTGTGAGCTCCGAGTACAGTCTGTCAGCCATGGGCAGGGGAATGCCTTCCCAGATCATAATGAGCACCACGATCACAGCTGTGGAACAGTGGTGGCCTGGACGCTTCCGCACCAAACACAGAACTTTCTCCTCTTCACTGCTTCTTCTCAAAACCTGCAAAATCAGAATGCATTCATCTCTGAAATGCGACTTCCTACATTCAAACATAAAGTATGTTCTCAAGGGGGTGAAACTCAGAGGGCAACAGAACCTTCCCACTAGCTGCTTCCATTAGAGTCAACACGGGGGGAAAAATGAGCAGAACAGAGATCTGTTTTATATGCAAAAAACAGGCTGTGTTGTATGTCAGTGTTACAGTTTGCACAAATGACAACAGAGAATCCGGTGGAAACCTTAATGCACTGTTCTACTCTTCCATAAATGATAAGAGTAGCTAGATAGAAGGAACCATGAAATCACATTAAATACAAAATTGAGGTGTGACTGGCCAATATCCCATATTTAGGTGCCTAGGTTTGAATATATGAGTTGTTCCAGCTTCCAGCTAATGTGCACCCGTGAAGACAGGCCGCAGGACATGGGAGACCTGGATTGGGTTTCTAGCTTCTGCCTTACCACAACTAGTCTTGAAGGCATTTAGGCAATGAATGAATCCTCTTACTCTTTCAACTTAATTAAAAAAAAAATGAAAATTAAATCAAGGGGAATGATTAATAATACTAAATAATAATAAAATAATACTGCTTTTATTTATTACAAAGGCAAAGAGATAGAGACAGAGTGCTTCATGTGCTAGCTCTCTCCAAGTGCTTTTTTTTTTTTTTTTTAAGATTTATTCATTTATTTGAAAGTTAGAGTTACACAGAGAGAGAAGGAGAAGCAGAGAGAGAGAGAGGTCTTCCATCCGCTGATTATTCCTCAGTTGGCCGCAACGGCCAGAGCTATCCCGACCTGAAGCCAGGAGCCAGGAGCTTCACCTGGGTCTCCCACATGGGTGCAGGGCCCAAGGACTTGGGCCATCCCCCACTGTCCTCTCAGGCCATAGCAGAAAGCTGGATGGGAAGCCAGCACTGCAGACCAGTGGCTTTAGCCATTATACCATAGTGCCCGGTCCCCCAAAGGAATGGAAGAGCTCAATCTTGCTCTGCTTTCAAAAAAACCAAGGGAATATGCAAACACATGAGAGTAATAAAATATGCACAATAATAGCCATTTAGCAATGTGTTAATGGGGGTGTAAAATAATACAACTGGAATAGGAAATGAGAGCTGGCCTGCAATGGGGATTCCAAGATGCTCTACTGCTGATTGATCTCCATGGTAACGTGCCTGGAAAGTAGCAGAGGACGACACAACTGCTTGGGCCCCTGCACCCATGAGTGACCTGGAGGAAGCTCCTGGCTCCCGGCTTCAGTTTGAATCAGCCCTGACCATTGTAGCCATTTGAGACTGAGCAGATAGGTATTTCTCTGTTGATCCTTCTCTCTCTGTAACCCAAATGGCCACAATGAAACCAGGAGCCAGGAGCTCCCTCCAGGTCTCCTACATAGGTGTGGGCCCAAGCACTTGGTCCATCTACTGCTGCTTTTAAGAAGTGGAGTAAAAGGGACTCAACCTGGCACCCAAATGGGATAATGGCGGTGTCATGTCTTAACTTTGCCAAAACACTGGCCATAATAAATAAATATTTTTAAAACTGCATATTAAAAATAAAATGAAAATTTTTCAAAATTATGAATAGGATCAGATCAATCCATTAGTACCTTTTCTTAATAGTTAACCAGGGTAAATAAAACAAAGCTGCTAAGTTACCTGCAAAGTTATGCTCATGGCAGCACTATAAACAATACTCAAGACCAAGAAACAAAACCATAGGTCCAACAAATTATGTATAGATCAAAAAAATGGAGCAAAAATGTACAATGGAATGTAATTTACCCTGCAAAGAAAGGAAACTCTATCACATCTAGAGCAGGGATGAATCCAAATGACATTAAACAAAATGGGATGGGCCAGTGTAATCTCTTCTGTAGTAAGTATAACAGATTTAAAGAACAAAAAGCAGAATGGTGATTACCAGAAGCTGGGAAAGAAAAAGGAGTTGCTTTTTAATGGATATAGAGTGTGCTCAGGGTTGGCACACTGGTATATAAGGTAAAGCAGCCACCTGAAATACTGGCATCCCATATGGGTGCCAGTTCAAGTCCCAGCTTCTCTACTTCCGATCCAGCTCTCTGCTATAGCCTGGGAAAACAGAAGATGGCCCAAGTCCTTGGGCCCCTGCACCTGTGTGGCAGACCTGGAATAAGCTACTGTCTCCTGGTTTTGGATTGGCTCAGCTCTGGCCAATTGGGGAATACCTCCCTCTCTGCCTCTCCTTCTCTCTCTGTGTAACTCTTTCAAATAAATAAATTTTTAAAAAAATTTAAAAAAAGGAAAGAACTAGGAGATGAACTTCTCTGTCTCTTTGAACTCTACATTCAAATGAAGATATCAAAAACAAAATTCTGGAAAAATGTAGAGAAACTGAAACTAAAGAACATTGTGCCAATGTAAAAAGGATGAAGGATGGAAGGCAGAAGTGGTTTTTTAGGAAGCAGCTTGTAACTGGAAGGGAACCAGAGGAATGATCCTGAGGTGCTATTAATATTGGATGCTGTGTAACCAAGTCTGCTTATTATGTAAAAACTTTATGACATTAAAAAATCTGGAGTCTTCTGTGGATAGGTTAGGTTAATAAAAGGTTTACCTTAATCTAAAACACATAAAGCAAAAATTGCTTCGTTACTTTCTGGCTCAGGACTTTGTGGCAAGCTTCTTAATTTTCCATAGTTGCTGAGTTAGGATCTGAGAAATGTGAGAAACCATTCTGTGTGTTTGCTTTACTGCTGCATAGTTGGCTTCCAGGGACAGAACTCGGCACATAGGAGGCTCACATCAAATATTTGTTGAATGAATGGTCAAAAACCACAAAAACCCAGTGTGGTTGCATTTTATGAAAATTCCAAATACTACAATTTACACTTAATTAATAAGATGAAATGTGACATTTCAGAAACAGATTTAAAATGTTCCATACATCATAAAATAAAAACTTTTTCTCATGAATCACATAAGTACTGCTTTATAAATTGCTGATGCGGATGGTTAATGCTGTATGCAAGTGCTCACAAATGGTGTCCACAACCACTGTGCTGTAATTTTTAAATATTTATTCTAGAGACACAAAGATGATGGAGGGAGCTCCTTTCCTCTGGTTCATTACTCAAATACCCACAACAGTCTGCAGCAAGGACAGGACCGACCAAGCCAGCAGCTGAAATTGCAGTCCAGATCTCCCCTATGAGTGACAAGGACCAAACCACCAGATCCACGAACTGTTGCCTTTCAGGAAGTGCATTCCCAGGAGCTGTGATTAGGGACTCAAACCGAGACACTTCAACATGGCACAGGGGCACCCATGCCTGCCCCTCAGGTAGTCATGCTTATCCTTTCTTATTAAACTTCTTACAGTATTTCAGTTACTGGGCTGAAGTATGACCCAAACTGAATGATGCTGAAAGGAAAGATGTTTTCGGCCGGCGCCGCAACTCACTAGGCTAATCCTCCGCCTTGCGGCCCCCGGCACACCAGGTTCTAGTCCCGGTCAGGGCACTGGATTCTGTCCCGGTTGCCCCTCTTCCAGGCCAGCTCTCTGCTGTGGCCAGGGAGTGAAGTGGAGGATGGCCCAGGTGCTTGGGCCCTGCACCCCATGGGAGACCAGGAAAAGCACCTGGATCCTGGCTCCTGCCATCGGATCAGCGCGGTGCGCCGGCTGCAGCGGCGGCCATTGGAGGGTGAACCAACGGCAAAAGGAAGACCTTTCTCTCTGTCTCTCTCTCTCTCACTGTCCACTCTGCCTGTCAAAAAACTAAAAGATCTTACTACATCCCTTGAAGCTAATTAAAGAAAGAAAGAAAGAAAGAAAGAAAGAAAGAAAGAAGAAAGAGAGATGTTTTCAATGAAAGGCCTTTGAAAATAGAGTATCATTGAGATATAATTGGCACATCACTTGATTTTAGTATATTCACAGTTACATTAGTATGACCAAAACATATTATTAGAAATACTCATCCCCCTAAAGGAATCCCCACATTAGCAGGCTCCAAACTGGAGACCATGAAAATTTCTACAATTTCACAGGCCATGTTAACCACTAGTCTACTTTCTACCTGTATAGGACTTTTTGCCTACTTCATTCACATACCATAATGTTTATATATTCTGTAGTATTTATTAGTCCTTCATTCTTCTAAATATTAAATAACATTCCAATGCAGTTACTTTAGGTAACTGAATGTGCAGTATTTTATAGTGATTTTGATGTTCAATTCCTTGATCACAAATGATATTGAGCAATTGTTTCCTGGTTATTTTTTTCTTTTTAAGTTTTATTTAATAAATATAAATTATTACAGTTTATGGATTACAATGACTTTTTGCCCCCCCCCCTCCTGGTTTATTTTTAGTTAGCATTGTCAATATATTCAATTGACTTGGGAGGTTTTGTTTTTGTTCTGTGTGAAAGATTCTTATCAGATATATGATTTGTAAATAATTTCTCCCACCAAAGGTGCAGGGGCCCAAGGACTTGGGCCATCTTCTACTGCTTTCCCAGAGGATAGCAGAGAGCTGGATCAGAAGTGGAGCAGCTGGGACTTGAACAGGTGCCCACATGGGTTGCCGGTACTGCAGGCGGTGGCTTTATCTGCTATACCACCGTGCCAACCCCTCTTTCATAATAATCTCATGAGCGCAAAACTTTAATACTGCTGGCATGCAATTTATCTTTTCGCAACTATTTTTACATTTCATATTTGGACATTTATGTTGCCTAGTATCATTTACTATCATGAAATTGTATTGGAATTCTAGATAAAAATAAATTGTGCGGGTCGGCACTGTGGCACAGCAGGTAAAGCATCCACTTTCAGTGCCAGTATCCCATATAGGTACCAGTTCGAGCCTCAGCTCTCTGCTATGGTCCAAGCCCTTGGTCCCCTGCCACCCACGTGGGTGACCAGTTTGGATCCTGGCTCCTCTACTTCTGATTGAGCTCTCTGCTATGGCATAGGAAAGCAGGAAAAGATGGTTCAAGGACATGGGCCCCTGCTA